CAAACAAACAAACTATCACTAAAACAATCCATGACATAATTTCGTCATCACCCTGTTTCGATTCAATAACCACTACAGATTATTATCCTTTCCATTCTGATAGTGACAAGAACTTGTTTATCATCAGAAACATAAAATTAATAGCATTTGGAAGGAAATACAGTTGCTGAAAGAGAATTCCTGTCGCACAAAGTTCTTGCTAAAAAAAGAGGGGAGAAATAACATTTAAATAAAATATATCCAGCTGTTGTGCATCTTTCGTTGAAGCTTTATAAAGGTGATGTACGTGAAAGGAATTATTCCGATATATGTTGCATTGTCTCTTTCATAACTATTCTTTTCCTGTTGGGCAGGAACGTGTCCCTATAGAAATTATATCCCTGTTTCTGTAACCGTTTCCTCTAGTTGTCTCGTTTGATTTGCACTTCAAAAAACTGTGATTGATGTGAACAGTCAGAATGTGAAAAATATTTTATAATAATGTATTCTGAACCAACATACAACAGACATTATGTTCAGGATGTTATTCATTGCGAACAAAACGAGTACTTCGTGAAAGATGCATTTTGTAACAAATGTTTATCGCATGAGGAAAAAATTAAATTATTTTGGCATCAGAAAGTTTATTGGTTTGTATATGCCGAACATCTAGCGATGAATAAAAAATATACAATTTTTAAAGATATTATTCCTACCTTTTCTGGTGAAGTTATATGCCTCAATACAACTGTAATTTAAGTCACGATTTCACAATTCAGGAGCAGTACTTTATTGAAGGTATTGGATTTCATCTAGGACAATTTCTGAAATCTGGGCATAACATAACTTATGTTACTGCAGGGTCTTCAGACAAGTTACCATCAAGTTCTGGTTATTTCATATTAGATGGCTAAAATATTTTACACAGATCAGATCTCTGATTCTGGTGTACTCAAAAGGAATTGTGTTTTATTATTGTGACGAAAACTTTTTGCGGTTACACAATGTATTAATGAATTATTTAAGATGTGGAATGCAAAACAAAGTGATGTTCATAGTTTTAGTTTTCCAAAAGCAAGTTCTAAATCATCAAATAATTCTTTAAAAAAATCATTTACTGAAAGCGAAATGATGGAACTGGAAGAATGTGAGTCAGAAAAAGTTATTTCCAAATGAATTCGGAGCAGCTTTATGGGAAAAACCATAGTGCTGACGTAAGTTAGTGTTACCCTCTGCACATGTAGAATCCAAAGAAGAAACTGGAACTAAAAGCAAAATGGTAGTGCTAGAAGAATACAAGCCAGAAGAAAGTGAATTCCAAATGAATTCGAAAAAGCTTTACGTCAACAAAATGAGTGGTAACTACAAATCAAGTTGTCCTGAAGTATCCTAGCACATGTGGAGTCGAAAGAGAAAATTGGAACAAAAAGGGATTCTTAAAAAAAAAAACGCTATAGTTAACTGATGCTGAAATCACTGAGGATAGTCATTTTTCAGTATTATAAAAATAACCAAAACGTGAAACACGATACAGAGCGCAGTTACAGCAGTAACTGCAGCATATTCCTACCAAAAGATTCAGACATATTAGTAATTGCAAATTATTCCGCTATTTCTGATTTCGCTTGAAACTACAAAAGTACCCTGAACGTTTGAGATCACAATAGTTTGATAGTACTTCTACTACAACATTCAAGAATCTAAAACTCGAACCTCAGTTGTTGAATTATCTAAAATCTGAAAAATAGGAAAAGAAAATCAAATAGAAAATGTTCCACATATATATATATATTTGAAGTGAATGAATGTTTTGAATATTTTTAACTCATGAAAGCTAGAATCGGATTAAATCAAGGGAAGAGAAATTTAATGGATCACGGAGCGATCTAATTTTTGAAAAATTCAATATGATTGCCCCAAATTGTCCAGTAGTATTACTTACAATCGTGTAAAATATGTTAACTCCAGAAAAAGACATGCATCATTTGTTCGCCTGGAAAGAAAATTGTTGTTATACATTTATGCAAGATCAGTCATTATACGTCCCAAGTAAACGTTATTATGAAAGATGGATCAATAACACATACCTGGCCAGAAATAAATACTCAGAATCCAGACCTTTGAAAGAGTGTCACTCAATAGATAATATATAATGTTTTTAACGTATATCAATTCCAGCCAGGATAAACATTTCTTGATGGAATGTTTTATGAAATCACCACATTTTTGACCTTGGCTTTGTGACAAATGCTGACAAATACATAGATATAGAGAGGGATCAATAGATATACCAACACAGAGAAAAGTAGGTTGATAGAAAGAAAAATGTATAACACAGACAACTAAAATAAACATACAGTATACTAATTACAAACATACGAAAGAAACAATTTAAGTATAATTCTTATAAATACTGTTTGTTGCTAAGACCAAAGCTACATAATGGGCTATCTGTGTTCTGCTCAACGCGAATATCGTTTATATAATATAATATCCTCAGACTTACCGCTGATTTTATAAATACAGTGATGTTGGTGTATGTATAGAATGACAGAAACTTGGATGCTTGCTAGCAGATATTATTATATGAATAAGATTCTGTTTACCACTCTCTGTTTCATGGATATGTACAGTGCCGGATTTAGGCATAAGCTAAACAAGCTAGAGCTTAGGGGCTTCACAATCCGCAGGGGCCTCAAAATTTCAGATTTTTCTTTTTTTTTTTTGCTTTTAAAATTTTATCAAGCTAGCCAAATGATAAATATGTATTTTTCACTTTAAATACCTTGTTATTAAATAATTAAAAGGTATATATATATATATATATTTTTTTTTTGTGGCGACCCAAGGTCCTGTTTTGATACGCACCTTTGTGAGACCTTCTGGTGTAACTTTTGAACAAGGGACCTCCAAGCTTTATATATAGATTAGGGCCTCACCAAGTCTAAATCCGGCAGTGGATATGTAACATATTTCATTAGATACACTGAAAAAGATCAATTCACCAAATATTATCCAACGACACTCTTCCTCAAATAATTTCATGAACGGTCAAAGAACACAGTCTCAAGATCACGTTTTGAAGCTTTCTCTATCATCTAATCTCAAAAGTCAAGTATCG